GGGAAGGGCCTGGGGAGGTCTTGCGCAGGGGGCGTGGGGGTTGCTGCTCGGTCTCCCTCAAAAGCAGTCCCTGGGAGGAAGGAGACAGGGCTGTCCCTTCTGCTCTTTAGGTTGACAGAGGATGACTCGGTGCATGACACGGGCAAGCAAAGAGGAACAGGGGTCGCTTGGAGACCTGGGAGGAGCCCAGTGCTGCCCCAGGCCCACGCCTTGTCCTCCTCCAGCTCCTTTGCCCTGGGGAGCCCTGGCGGTGAACTCCAGGCCGCCACCGGCACCCCGCCAAACCCCGCGCTGCCAGGGCCTCTCCTGCTGGCACCTGGACAGGCGGGAGCCTCCTGACCTTCCACCCAGCAGGGCTCAGGCGGGGAATCTTCCCTTCTCTAAGCCACGCCTCCCCTCGCTAAGCCACACCCTCCCCTCGCTAAGCCACTCCTCCCGTAGTGTTCCTTACAGCTGAGGAGCATCCCAGAATCCAAATGGGAACCGTGAAGTTTCCATATCTCCTTCCTATGAGACTGTGATAGAATTTACCAAGTTGCTTTTCGGAAATCTGGGCTGTAAACCTTATTTCACTGCCCAATTTTCCTTTCTCTTCATTCTTCTGGCTTCTTTTCCATTTATTTCCTGGTGTTGTGTTGAATGAATCCTTTTTTTAAAAACTTTTTTTTTTAAGTTGTAAAATGTTCCAAACATTTAGAAACGCATGGGGAATTATAAAATGAACACCATGGTCCCTACCTACCAGCTTTATCGGTTCTTAACATATTGCCACGTTTGGTTTCATGCTGCTGCTGCTGCTGCTGCTGCTGCTGGGGAAAAATGTAACTAAGAAAATTTAGCATTTCTTAACCATTTTGATTTCTTATAGAAACTTAGCATTATACACAGAGAGTCCCTGTGGCCTCTCCTCCATTCCCTTTCTTTTTTCCCTAGGAACAATCACCACTCTGAAGGCAATTCTCCTGTAAAAGCAATACATGTGATACACGTTTTACTATGAAAACAATCCACGCAGTGGAGAAGGACATAAAGCAAGAAGTAAAAAATCCTCCTGCTCCCCACAATCTTAAACTTACTCCCCCTGAAGTACCCATTGTTAAAACTTTCCATGCATCTTTCCAGGTATTTTTAAATACATATGAATTATATTCGCTTGTTTTCTTTCTTAATAGAGATGAATTAATACTATGTACCGTGTTCTTCAACTTGCCTTTTGTTTCTGGTTATTGTAGTTCCTTGGACATTTTTCCATGGGAGTACTGATAAATCTACCATATTCTTTTTAACAGCTGTCTGGGATTCTACTTTATTTAGTAGTTTCCCATGGAGGGGCAGTTAGGTGGTTTCCAGCTGCTTCCCTATTCTAAACAAGCCTGCACTGAACATCCCTGACATTTAATTTTGTTCACTTGTGGGACTAGTATATATCTGGAAATATCTAGAAGTGCAGTTTCTGGATAAAAGAGTATTGAAAAGTTGACATCTTGAAAGATACTGCCAAGTCCCCCTGGAGAAAAATGATCCAATTAAACAGCAATCAATAATGCCTAAGAATTCCTGTCTCCCCACATCCTGAAGATTGTGTCTTTTCATACCACTGTCAGCCTTTTATTTATCTTCTTCTGTGAACTGTATGCTCTTGTCTTTCCCCTAGCATTTTATGGGTTTATTTTTACATTTGCATCTTTGATCCGTCTGGAATTAATTTTAGATGCACAATGAGATAGACATTGTTTTCATTTGACAATTACTGTTTTCCCTACTCTGTCAATAGTTGGAGTTAAGTACCAAGATAAAGGGAAAAGCGGATTTCTCTTCACTCCTAACAGGCCACCGCTACCTGATTTTGCACCGCTCCCCCTCCCCACCTAGAACTAGTCCACCCCAAGGTTCTGGGTTAAGGAAAGGAACACTGCCTCCACCCACCCTATCTTTATAGTGGATGGGCTGAACTCAGAAGCTCTGCAAACAACCAGTCAGTCATTCAGCAAACAGGCAGTCAATCCAACTTCATTTTTCACCCCAAGGATAAATGTATTGTACGTGTCTGAAGAGGGGGTACACCTGGGTTTTGGTGGCCAAAGGAGTGGCTGTGGCAGACTGCAGACAGCTCACTCAAACTCATTCTCCCTCTTCTATTATAACAGAGCTGATGCCGGCCATGTTGCTGTCTAGCTAGGAACAGTGTCTCCCAGCCCTGTCTCCCAGACAACTACACTCTCAGCAGAGGAATGTGAGCAAAGTTGGCAGGTGTGCCTCTGGGTATAATGGCTTTAAAATATGACACAAATTTGGGGCGTCTGGGTGGCTCGGTCAGTTAAGCGGCTGACATTGGCTCAGGTTATGATATCAGGGTCCTGGGATCGAGCTCCATAGCGGGCTCCCTGCCCAGCGGGGGGATCTGCTTCTCCCTCTCCTCCATGCTCCTGCTCTCTCGCTATCTCTGTCTGTCTCTCTTTCTCTCCAGTAAATAAATAAAATCTTAAAAAATACATATGATGCAAATTCCTCAACCCTCTTCCTGTTAAGAGGTAGGGGGCTCTATGACCCCTCCACTCGAACTTGGGCAGTCTTCAACTATAATGGGACTTCTAAGGCTAGGGCATAGAGGTTTCTATCTTGTTCTCCAAGAACTGTTGCTCTTAGAGCCCTGAACTTCCATAAAGCAGTCTAACTCACCTGAGGCTCAGAACTAGAGAGGTTTCCTGGTAGAGGCCTGGCTGTGCCTAGTCTTTCAGTCAAACACCGGGTAAGTGAAGATTCCTCCAGCTCGTTCAACCCCCGGCCATTGGAGTCCCCCTCGGTCATCTGAGTCTTAGCTGAGGCCCCAGCCTGTAGATCAGTGAGACAAGACCCCTGTCGGTGTTCTGTCCAAATTCCCCAGCATTCCTCACAGACCTCAAAATCTGTGAGGATAATGAAATGGTTGATGTCTTATGGTACTAAATGTCAGGGTGCTTTGTTAGGCTGTTAAGAGATCCCTGGAACCAAACTTGGACCTAGAAAACTCCCCCACCCCTTCCTGCTGACTCCAACCCAGGGGTGGTGATGACCTAGCCTCTGCTATGCAGATGACAGCACTTAGGGATGACAGAGCCACAGCCTGGAAGGAACCCAGGTCCCTAAAGGACCATGTGGGACACTGACGCCGGCTGATAAGAAACACTCACCTCAATGGTTATGTGAGAAAGGAATGAAGATCTTTAGTCCTTCGCCAAATAGACAAGACAAAGATAGAGCAGAGAGCAAGGCAGACGTGGTCCCTTCCCTCTGGGAACTTCTGTCTTTGACTAGGGAGGAGGCTGGAGGGAGGGAGCACAAGGGCAGATCAAGCCTCCAAGAGGATACGGTTGGTTATTTAATGTCAGGTGAAATAAGTTCCAGGCAGAGATATACAGGAAGTTGTAAAACCAACTCACAGGGCTCTGACCCAGTGTAGGTGGACATGGAAGGTAGCTCTGAGGAAGTGATCCTTGACCAGAAGGATAAAACTTAAGTAGGATGGTAGAGAAGGAGGAGGGGAAGGCTGTTCTGGTAGCCGAAGTGGGTAGAGCGTGTGCAGAGGTTCTTAGTCAGGGGGAGAGTGAGTTTGAGAAACTGGAAGAAAAAAAAGAAAAGTCAGTGTGAGCCTTGTGGGTCAAGCTAGGGATTTCAGATATGATTTCTAAGAAATGAGAATTCACAGGGTAATTCCAGCAGAAGACTCAGCCTGTGGAAGCTGTGTGGGGAAGAGACCGGGGGCAGGGAGCAGCTGGGGAGCCGAGGGAGACCCCGTCTGTGGTGAGGGCTGTGGAGATGATCAGGGTGATCAAGTTGGAGAGACATTTGGGAGATGGTCGATAGGACTTGGGGGGCAAGGGAAGTCACTGAGAGCAGGGAGTCAGGGAAGAAAGAGCAGCGAGACGATATCCGGTCTGTGAGTAAATAAACTGTAATGTCAGAGCCAGAGGATAGCTAGGCATGACCTAGTACAAACGCAGCTCAGAGCAAGAGAAAGGGGGTCAGGTTTGTAAGTGGGGGCCTTTGAGCCAGTCACCTTGCTCAGGACCACTGAAGCATAAGGACAAGGGCTGTGTTCAGTCATTCATTCAAAACATGTGGTGAGTGAGCAAGAACTGTGCAATAAACAAGATACAAGCAACAAGTATGTGGTGTATTAGTGACAGGGCTAAGGAGAACCAACAGAGTGGGGACGGGGGGAAGTGGGGGGTTAAATCTTTAGCTAGGATATTCAAGGTCTGCACCCATGAGCAGGGTGAATCCAGGTTCTGTGGAATCTGAGGGGGGATCCAGGTTCTGTGGAATCTGAGGGGGGACCCTCCTTTAGACAAAGTATTAGAGTATCTTATTTTTGCAAATGGCACAAAGATATGTGACCATCTGAACCAATTTCTAGGGCCTTGCACGGAGTGGGGGGGGGTGCATGAGTGAGGGGGCCTAGAGCCGAGTTCCGGGAGTTTCTCAGTAAATCCACCTCAGCTCATGAGTAATAGGGCCGGAGGAGGGGAGGAGTGTGACTGTGGGTGTCACAAACAGAACCTGCTTCTGTGACTTACAGCCAGTCATTCAATTACTCTGACCCCTGATTTCCTGATCTGTAAATGGGGAAAACAATATCATGTCCTTATAAGGGCATATCAGTAAAGAGCCTGACTCACAGTAATACAGGGTAGCTAGGATTTTGGATTTTTTTTTTTTTTTGGAAGATCAAAGTTTATTTACTACCTGCATACAAAAACATATTGCAGGGGCACCTGGGTGGCTCAGTGGGTTAGGGCCTCTGCCTTCGGCTCAGGTCATGATCCCAGGATCCTGGGATCAAGCCCCGCATCGGGCTCTCTGCTCAGCGGGGAGCCTGCTTCCTCCTCTCTCTCTGCCTGCCTCTCTGCCTACTTGTGATCTCTCTCTGTCAAATAAATAAATAAAATCTTTAAAAAAAAAAAAAAAAATGCAAAAAAAAAAAAAAAAAAAAAAAAAAAAAAAAAAGAAAAAAAAAAAAGAGAGAGAGAAAGTAAAGAAAAAGAGAAAAAAGGAAAAGATTCTCTACTGAAGACTAACATGTACTTTTATACAGAATAAACCTCCTGGAAATTGATCTTTTCAGTAGTTCAGGTTATGTCTGAAATGGACATGACTAATTCAGCTTAGTGTTTTAACTAAAGCTATGTTTGATTTTTAAATACTGTACACTTTAATAAATAAACCAAACAAAGCCTCAGTGTAGAACAATCACTGCCGATAACACCCAGTGTCCCTGCAGATGAGAATTTAACAAATGTATTCCAGTGGTCTGCAGATTTTCCTCCACATACAGCATTTAAAAAACACATTAAAACAGACCAGTTTCCAGACTAAACTAATGGAGAAATTACAATTCAGTGCAAAATATTTTAGACTGCATTTCATTCTAGTTTTCCTCAGGTGAAGAAGTGGTTGCATATTATTAAAAATGTAACAAAAGCAGCTAATGCTTTCATAAAGAATATTACGTTAGGGATCCCATCCCTCCCACCTCCCCCCATCTCTGCCATATTTGGAAAACAAAATAACATTTCCTATAGCCAGCAACTTTTTTTTTAATGTTACATATACTATTCTCAAGGCACATCTGATGATATATTTTATAACACAGTAGGTGTCAAAGTATGTTTAACATATGATATCTTCAGGATCCCTCCCCTTTCTGAATTCCAAATGGAGGAACTGAAAGTGCGATGTAAAGACTGGCGATCCATATTCTATCTTTGGCAAGCTTGTACAAGCACTATTGTAAAATGTAATGTAAAAGAACTGTAAACTAGGAACTTCTTCAGTTTATGAAACACCATTCAGGACTGCTGCTTCTTGAGTGTTTTCTTCTTTTAAGATATTAATCTTTTCTTCTCCTGGAGTACACTGTAGCTTAGAAATTTCATCGCCAGAAGCACTAGTTGGGCCATTTATTGCCTTTTCTGAAGGACCATGCTCTTCAATCACATCTTTTGCCATTTCTTTCTTGTTTTTAGCCAAAGTTTCCCTTGGGAGGTTTCTTTGTCTGCTCTGAGACTCAGCTCTAGAAATATAATCTGCAACTGTGACTAGCCCATTTTCATTAACTGAAGCTGTATCAGATTCAGTCATCCCATCCATCAGAACAGCATCTTCATCAGTCCTTCTTCTACGAGACCGCCTACGACGGTTAGTACTGTGATGAGATTCGCCGGCATCAGTGTCTGCAGTCTGATCAGATTCTGTATTATCAAGTAAGCTGTATGGATTGCTGTCTGGATCTTTGAGCACAGAACTGATGGAGGATTTGCCACCACGTGGTCCACCACGACCTCGACCCCCTGAAACACTTCTCCCTCTTCCTCCTGGGCGTCTCCTGCTGTCACGCTGATGTCGGCTCTCCCGATCATCTTCTCCTGCCAATGACCAATCACTCAGCTCATCTTTACGCTCAGATTCTGTTTCAGAGGGGTTAGACAGCTCAGAGTTTGTACCATAACCGGAGGTGTAATTAGGGCCCCGACGACCTCTGCCTCTTCCACTATAAGACCTAGAACCAATCTGCCGTAGCTGTTCATCAATCTGTAGGCGTTCCATTCTTAGCTGTTCTACTTCCTTCAAATAAGCAATATGATACTCTAAAAGAACTTGCACATTTCCGATGCTTTCTTTAGTGCCAACAAATACAAATGGAACCATACCATCTTCTCTAGGTAGTTTATTTTCATTGTCTCCTTCAATTCTCACCCGAACCACACCAGATTTGTCCATTATTTCCTGAATAACTTTGCCATTTTTTCCAATTACTTTTCCAACAAGATTCCTAGGAACCTGAATAAAATCCTCAACAAATTCCAAGAAACCTCTAGCCTTTTTTACAGCATCAGCACTCTCTCCATAGATTCTAAATGTTCCAGTATCTTCATCTAGCTCAATAGCTGTAACTCCAGGAACCTTCCTAGCTTGCTGTATGTTACTACCATGTGTTCCTATTGCCAGGCCCATCAAATCTTCTCTCACAACAAATTCCTCATGAAAAGCTGCTGCAAGTTGTTTTGTGCATTCTAAATGCTTAGTGGCCTCTTCATTTCTGGACATAAGCATCAACTTTGTACGAATACTTCGCAAATGCATTTCACTTAAAATATTTACTCTCTTCACAGTTGCTTCGCTGGCAGACAATATCATTAGCTGTGTGGTTTCTGGATGGTAAAAAATTCTGCATGCTCCTACTGCTTTCTTAAAATCTTTATGTGCATTTTCATTAGCACACGCCTCTCTCAAATCCTCAGGAACATCCACTGTGCATTTAAAGAAGGTATTTTTTTTTGACAGTTTTATTTTGATTGACAGGCTGAAGTCGTTCAAATGTGACTATTTCATTGTAAGTGGCATCACGAGCAGCATATTCAATGACATAAAATTCTCCTTTCATCATTCGAACTTTAGCCAACCACCATCCACAGGGTTCTTGGTCATTTGCTCTTGAATATACCTCTACTTCATCTCCTTCACTAATTTCTTTTTTTATGTCAGGTGGTGGTGGTAATCTAACTTCATTAAATGGAACCTGGCGTTCTGGCTGCCAGTTGTTCTCAAAAACAACTGTGAGGGAGTCTTCATGAACATCTTTGATAAATCCCTTGTAGAAAGCCCCGTTGGAGCCGCGAACCTCCACCGTCAGCTCTGCCATGTTGGAACCGCAAAGTTAGGATTTTGATTTTTATACCTACTCCTCGCCGATGGAGAACCGTGATCTTACGTTGGAGAGGGACCAGAAAGAACCAGAATTAGGAGGGGATCGTGAGCCCTGGTGGCAGGGAGGCCCCACGCTCCCTGGGCGTCCTAGGCTCAGTGACTCTGGGTTGCCCACAGTGTGGGACCCTTCTCGGCGGTGGCCCTCGTGCACCACACTGTGCCGTACAGCCTATGGCGATCACACGTCCAGTGAAGACCCAGGTGCCCCTGTGCACCTAGGTGTGTGAACGGGGTGAGCAGAGAGTAGGGGCACGGCACACAGCTAACATGCACTGCCTTTCTTACACAGCTACCACAACCAGCCCCAGAGTCTTCTCCCTCTTGTGCACAGTGGCAACTCTTCTGTAAAAACTGATCGCCCTGGTCACAGAAGAGGCAATGGTCCCAAACAATAAAATCATTGTAGAAGGTGTTGGATAAGTTGGTATGGCACGTGCCTTCGGCATTCTGGGAAACTCTCTGGCTGACAAATGTGTCCATGTGGTTGTTTTAGAAGATAAACCCCAAAAAGAAATGAGGCATCTCAGGCACGGGAGCTAACTTCTTCAGACGCCAAAAACCAGCAGATAAAGATGACTCTGTGACCGCCAATTCAAAGATTGTGATGGAAAATGCAGGAATCCGCCAGCAAAAGGGAGAGAGTCATCTCGGTCTGGGGCTGAGGAATGTTAATGTCTTCAAATTCATTATTCTCCACATCATCAAGTCCAGTCCCAGCTGCATCATAATTATATTTCCCAGCCCAGCAGATTCTCACATGTTATCTGGAAACGAACTGGATTACCTGAGCACCCCATGGTGGGAAGTGAGTGTAATCTGGAATTTGCTAGATTTTGCCATCTTATGGCTAAAAAACTTGACATTCATCCCAGTGGTTGCCGAGTTTGGGGAGATCCTAGTGTCTCGAGTGAGGCTCTATGGAGTGCAGTGAGGATGGCAGGCGTTTCTCTCTAGGAACCAAATTAGAACAGAAAGGGACAGTGATAGTGAAAATTGGAAGGAAGTGCATAAGTACGTAAGATAGTGCCTGTGGAGCCATCACGTCCGAAGGATATACCTGCTGGGCTATTGGGTAAGTGTGGCTGATCTCACTGATCCCGTGTTGAAAATCTATCCAGGATTCATCCCATGTCAGTGGTGGTGAAAGGAATATATGGCATTGAGAACAGAGTCTTCCTGAGCCTTCCATGTCTGCTGAGTGCTCAGGGGTTAACCAGCATTATCAACCAGAAGCAGAAGGCTGACCAAGTTGTTCAACTCAAGAAAAGTGCAGATCCCTGTGGGACATCCAGAAGGACCTAAGAGATCTGTGACCTCTGCGTTCTAGGCTATCAAAATTTCAAACTCCGAAGTGACTAACCATGAATCTCTAGTTTTTATCCACGTACATGGATTATAGTTTGCTTTTTATCATCTTAGATATGTGAATTGGGGGTCACAGAAGCAAAGCGCATGCTTGGTTCAATGCTTGCAGTATAAGCCCCTGAAACAAAACTATTGGTGGAGGGAGAAAAGAAAGAAAGAAGGGGAGCTGGGGGCTCAGGCAGATCCAGATTCCAATTCTGCTGTCGCCTCTGCCAGCCTGCATGTGTGGCCAGACCCTTCACTGCCTCAGGTGTCACGTGGAAGACAGGACAGTTCTAACGGCGCCGCGCAAGCCGGATATAAACACGTGATGTGTAGGTGTGGACAGAGTGCAAGGCCGCCGCTCCTGCCTTCCTCCTCTCCCAGTCAGACCCACGTTCCAGGACCTGTACCCAAGAGGGGACGGGCTGCGACAGCCTCGGGTACCTGGTGACCGAAAGCTCCCCCAGGCCCTGGGTGTGTGGCTGATACAGCAAATGTTCTCAGGCCTGTAACAAAGCAAGCTCAGCCCATGGTGGGTGCTGGTGACGTCCGAGGACTTAAAACAATTAAACCCATAATCAGAGGGTGCTCGGCCTCAGCTGCTGTGGGTTTGTTTGCTCACGAGTCACATTCATCTTGGCAGTGTGCACCAGCCGTTAGCCCTCAAAGTTCTGTTGCTAAGAGATTATGAACCAAATGATGTTTCCAGAAAATAACCACTGCAGGATGTTCTAGGAGCGAGCCATGATAACAGCCCAAATAGGACGGATATGCTGTTATTGATAAATCCCTCTGAAGAGCCGAGGAATGGGATGGGGGCTTAGCCTGTCCGCGCACATCCTACGTAAATGTCGGGTTTGCCAAGGTTTTAAATATAACAAAATACAGTTATCCATGAACACTGGAAGGGATAGAGTCTAAAGTCCTCATGCTTCCCCAAGTTCTTTCATCAACAAAGACGTATCTGTTGGAGGCCCGTTGTTTGCGGTGCATGTTTACAACAATCTCGGCCACATTTCGTAGAGAATGGTCCCTAAGTCCAACACAGCTGTAACCACCCTTGGGCGACGCAGAGCCTGTGTGTGACAGCTGACGAAGTGATTTCATATAGCCACTTGTGGCCGCCTCCACTTTTGCTCTGTTGCTGGGGTAACGGAAACCAGTCGACTAACAGAAGCCCAGGTTAAAGCAGGACAATTTCCATCCCAGGAAGTCCGCAAACAGGGCACTTGCGAGAAACAGATTATCATCTGGCACCTAGAACCATTCTGCCCATGCAGTCTTCCTGGGAAGATGCAGCCGTTCTTCCCCGGGTCCTCGTGGAAGACTCCTGGGTCATGCCCAGGGGTCTCTATCAGGCATGTGAATTAGTACAAAGTAGCACGATACCCACCTGACACCCCAACTCAGGCCACCCCGTGCCTCCTCCCCTCCCAACTCCCCACCAGCCCCTTCTGCTTTCTCTCTAACCAGGCCCCTGGCCACAGTGGCCTCCTGGTCTACATTTTACCTCACTGGGGCAGTTAACAGAAGGCAAGCTGTTGTGTTCTTCCCTCTTATTTAACAGTTGAAGGAGCTGAGGTCCAGAGAGCCAAAGTGAGGTGTCAAGGTCAGGCAGCTAGTAAGTCAGGGGGCAAACCCGTGTCTTCTAGCCCTGAATCCCAGGATCATCACTGCTCCCCAGACCTCCAGTCTCCCTATGATGGAAACTGCCAGGGGCTACAGTGGCTCCCAGAAGGGGGTCAGTGTTTCCATGTGCCAATTCCAGGGACCCTCGGTCACTGTGGGGCGCTCCAGGAAGGGGGACAGGGCCATAGGCACTCTGCCTTCCTCCTTCCTCCAAGGGTCGGAAGAAGGGGTCATGAATAAATCGAATCATTAAGATCCCGGATTCTGCCAGTCACACTGTGGGTGACCTCTGGAAGGTACCCGATCTTCTGCTATGCTGTTTCCTTTCTAAAAATTAGGATGAGTACCTCCCTCCTTTATGGGGTTGTTATGAGGAATGCACGAGATTAGATAGTTAAATATGGTCGGCAGGGTGAGTGGGAAACCTTCGACAGCAGCCATGGTCACAGCTCACGGTATCATCATTCTCCCCACCGCCAGCCCCCACTCTTGCTCAGGACGTGGGGTGCAGGTGGGCAGGCGGCTGGTGCCAGCTGGAGTGCCATTGTAGTCCGCAGTGGTGACTGACCAGGGTCCGGTGACAAAGGGACACATTTCCCAAAGTTCCTGGTGAGAAATCCTTAATTTTTCAGAAGGTGGGCTCAAGGAATGGAGAAGCAGCTTTGTGGGTTTCTGCGCCTGTCTAAACACATGTGCTTCCAGTTGGCTTCCTCCAGCTGGAATTCCCCAGTGCCCAACCCAGCAACCTCCACTGCCCAGTGGCCCCCCTCCCTGAAGCCTGCGGGGGCTTCTGCCCTTGGCCAGAGGCCCCCCTCCAGCCTCAACAGCAGGCTGCTTTCTCCCCCAGGAGTGGGAAAGAGCAAGCCAGGGCGGGGTGCCTCCCTCATCTGTCTGAACGTTGCTCCTCTGAGAGTCTTAAAACCCCAGCCCAGAGAGGGTGGTTAGGGAGGGCTGGCAACCGGACAGACGAAGGCTGAGGCGGAGGGTCATGAATTCAGCCTTGCCGCTTGGCACCCGCCCCCAGTGCCGTGGCTGCGTTATCCTGTGGGTCAGGACGCCGTTTCTGCCGAGTCATCCTTTCTTGCCCAGAGGGATTCTGGCCCAGAGCCACATTCCTGGTGGGGTCTGAGTGCCACAGAGGACGGAAACTTCCTTTCTCACCAGACCCTAGCTCTCCAGCCCAGCACACAGTCCGGTCTCTCAGCAGCCTCTGCCGGCAGCAAACGGTTTCCTCTAGGCCTGTGTGGCTCCTTCCCACAGAGCCACGCCCTCCCTAGACCCTGACTCTGGGTGAGCTAAGAACATTCCACGGGGAGGGAAGGATGCTAGTGTGCCGAAGGAGGAGAGACTGGGTCGAAAGGGAGGGGGTCACAGGGGCATGGAGGAACTGCTTAAAACTTCCCAACCACCCACCTGGAGAGGACCCTTCTGCCGGTGGGGGTTCAGCAGCCCCATTGAGAAGGAGCTGGGTACTCTCCAATAGGCCTGGGCAGGCGCCAGATCTCAAGCTAGAGAGGAGACAAGGCAGTCTAAGAAGCTTCATCCCTAGGCCCATACTGCCCCCCACCAAGCACCTCCAGCATCTCTTTGTTGTGCAAAATGTTAGCATCCCCAGACCTTCCACAGAGCTCATGCTTCAGGAAACTACATGCCAGGCACTATACTAGGCCCTGGCCCTTGGCAGAGTGGACAAGGCAGATGTGGCCAGTCCCGGGATCTCTCCCGTTCTTTCCAGGCCCACCAATCTTGCTTCCAATCATGCTATCATCCCAGACCGCTTGGGTCCCACGTCTAGCTGTGTGAACTTGAGCAAGTCATTTTACCTCTCTGGACTTGTCTTATCTATAAAATGAGGGTAAACTAATACTTACTTCATAGGGGTGTTAAGAGAAGTAAATGAGTTAATATATATGTACATATATGTTAATATATGTACAACATTTAGAACAGTTCTTAGCA